TGCTAACAGTTCAGATGTAACTGGAGCAACAGAAGTCTTCCGTGTAAGGTCAAATCGTTGGTCCCTCATATTGTGAAGCTTCCAAAATGCCCATCCAGCCATCCTGATGCTCAGGAGCTTATGCAGAGGCCCAGGGTTGGAACAAAGTTTATGGATATATGATTAGGGTTGCTATTTCTCTGTCAGTGACATGACAGTGTGTGGGGTATCAGAGGAACCACTTTATGACTGGTAGGCAAATTAATGTTCTACAAAGGCCTTCTTAGTAGAATAATTGGGACTTAACAAGGAAATTGTTTTGACAAGTAGAGGGCAAGGGCATCTCTGAAAAAGAATTTGGGCTTTGGTTTCAAGGTATGGCTTCCAGAGTAGAATAGACTGTTGGACAAATGCCAAGCTTATTGGCCAGAATGCTTCCCGCTTGTGGACCACACTGTGATACACTGGTCTTAGCAACAATGATTGTTATGAAGTAAGCTACCTTTCAAGCTAGAAATATGCAAAGAAGGAACAATAAAGTCTTGGAGAAGGCCTCTGAGTCTTACCCCCTCATGTTCCTCTTCTTTACTTCTCCCTCCTTCACTGATGGTCCTATTAACGTGGGAGTCCTTTCCATTCATTCTTGTGAACACAAGCATCAGGAGTGCAAAAAGGGCAATCTGATTGGCATTCTTTCCTCTTGCTAGCCAAAGTTCAGATCCTTTCCTAGATATTTAAACATGCTGTTTTAAAAGCTTTTAAAAAATATTTTAACATATTTTCCTTTAACATCATTTCCTTATCTCTTTTCATCTAACTGGTTCAAATTATATTTTACAGCTTTTCTGTGGGAAGACTAGTGTACACAAATACACACACACCCTCCCAGATTAAAAAACAAACAAACCATAAACCAACTTAGCCATGTTCGACCACGATAATTAAGGACACAGTCCAGGAACTGGGGTTGAATGTAGAATAGGATTATAGGAAAACCTGGCTCCCCAACAGTGCCTGCTAATCAGACCTGGACCACCTATATTTAGAGTTCCTTATTATGAGAGAAATAAAATTGTCCTTGCATATAGAACTAGGTGCACACTTTTGTGCTAGGCTTCCTTTGTGATCTGTCTGTAGGCCACTTTGTCAGTGTCATCATATAGACTCTCTGCTTCATTATATGATGTCTCCAATTTAAGCACTCCAGTCACTCCTGATTCCATTATTTTCCCTGAACAGGAGATCCTATTGCCTATTTTTTGGCCTTTTTACGTATTAAGCTTTATCACTGCACATCCGTTGTGGAGTAAAGTTACACAGCCCACCTGTCACTCCTCGTTCCACCACTCCACATTTCACTATCCTTTCTTGAGCTTATACAGTGACCTTTCTTTCACTGCCTTATGTGTTTTCCTGGAAGCTCTGTGCTCAGATAAAAGAGCACAATCTTCTCTGGTACAGAATTGTGATTTTTATCTTAGCCAGTGAGAATCTTTGTGGGATTTTTTTTTTTTGCTTTATAAATCTCCTCATTGGTGACATCTTGATTTATTTTTCCTTATCAAAAATATTTTTATTGACTCTCTGAGAATTTCAGAGATTTTTGATTCTTCCCCATTTCCAGTTGATCTCTTTTCTTTCGGCATTCCAGTATCCCTTACTTATATCTTTTTTTCAATTTTATTTGCCTCATGATCATTTTATTCTCTCATCCAACCAAAGTATGTGGAAGAAGTAGTCACTAGAAGTTGGGGAATCTGCCCAGAGAAGAACAACCAAAGAAAGGCTCAAAGATGGTGTGGAGGAACCTGATTGGTTACCCAAAACTATATAACGTGCTCTCATCTTCTGCTCGCCCTTGGTGGTTTGCATTTACCCTACCCCTGGTGTCTGTGTGATGACTCTGTGCCTCTCATTCCCTCAGCCTGAACCCCCTGTCCTCACCCACGGGCTGAACCCTTGGGAGGAGGAGCAACAGAAGAATGTTACAAGTAAGGCACTCTATCTGATTGAGTTTTAAGTATAAGCATAATTTTGAAAATTTCACTTTAGAGTCACGCAGTAGTGGTGTGCATCTTTAATACCAGCACTTGGGAGGCAGAGGCAGGCAGATCTCCGAGTTCAAGGCCAGCTGGGTCTATGGAGCAAGTTCTAGGACATCAGGACTACATAGAGAAACCCTGCCTTGAAAAACCAAAATCCCAAAACAAAGAAAAAAAGAAAAAAAATTCACTTCATTGATCATTTAAACAAGGTTTAAGAAGCTATTGTCACTTTCTTTTGAAGATGGAGAAACAGAATTTGTACATTAGATTATTTCTCTAAACCAGACAACTGGAAGAGATATAACTGAGATAAGGCTGACTGGCATCTTCTCCGGGGTTCTTTCCATACACCATGTTCTGTCTGGGTGAACAAATTAGAGGTCTTCATGTCAGTGTTAGGGAGTACTGGCAAACGTGGTACAGAGCCCCAGAGTCAACATCAGCAACCTGAAGAGTTCCCTAGAATTTTAAGGACCTTTCAGCTGAAGCCAAATCAGAATTCGTGGCTTTGCTGCTGAAAACGAATTTTAAGGACAGCCTAAAGATGTTTGAATTCACGCTTATGATGAAAATTAGGAAACAAGGCACCCAGAAGAAGGTAAGGGTAGACTGGGTATGGGCTTCTCAAAAAGATGTGGTGCAGTATTACTTTCACAGTGGTCATAGATGAGATTTATGTGGAGTCTGAAGTTGCTGTCTTACCACTGTGTGGCTGTGGAGGAGCATCTGACAGGATTACCGTCCAAAGAGTGGATGTGTAGTCCTACAAGCATAAAGAAGGGTAGGATATGTTACATTTGGTTTAAGAGTCTCAGGCAATTTTAAGAGAAAGAAATGAGGCCCCTGCCCACCCAGGGCCATACATATTGAGGGCTTAAGCCTAGGCCATTGCCAATTTTACATACAATATCTATGCGGGGAAGAAATAGTAACTCTGTCAGTAACCTTTATAGCAAATGTTGTTAATTGTGCTAGAATCAATCCTTGCTCAGCTGGCACCAGGTTATAATCAAACTCTGAGATGACAGGATATGTCTCCCCCCAAGTCTAATAGGTTCCCTGCCTTCCCATCCGGTCTAATTCCCATACAATCCACTTCTGACTTGTTTAATAAACAGTAGTTTCTGGCTTGATTTTTTGACTGTAAGTTTGAAAAACTTTATGCTGACTTTGCACTCTTTGATTCTCTGAACACCTCCAGGAATCCCTCGAGTCATCCTACACATGTAAGGTCGCCTTCCTGGTTCTTAAGGCCTTCGTATTTTTTGATCCCTGAAAGTTCCTCATCCTCTGTTTGGAATGTCCTATCTCAAAAGCTGAGATGGCTAGGGAGGTCATATCCTAAGTCTTGCTATCATTTTGTCAAAAAAGGAGTGCCTTTTCCTCTCCCCCTTTCCCTGGAGGATTTTCCCCAAGGAAGCCAATAATTATACTTTCTCTGTATCTTTGTATGAATATGTACACACACACACACACACACACACACACACACACACACACACACACACA